TAACTTAAGTGACTCAAACAAGGACTTGCTTAAGAAGTTTATCAGCTGAATTCCTGTTAAAATGTATGCAAAGTTTTTGGACAATCTATGAATATGTTCTCTGCAGAGAAATTTGAGATGGAGTAGGATGCTCCTAGACAATCTATGAATATCAGACCGCTGTTAGCTCCAATTGACATAATTCCTGTGTGAAGTAGTAGTGATAATAAGTTATAGTTGGATAGCCATTCCATATTTTTATTACTTGGGGGCATTCAGAAAAGAGAAGAGGTTACTTCAGATTATGTATAGACTTGTTGAATCTAGCTATGGCATAAATTATGCAATGATATGTTATTGCTGCAGCTTTACTACTTTTGTTATTTTTTGTATAGTTCAGACTTGGCTGTTTGTGTTTCATCCTCATTTTGTTTTGTTTGTTTTTTTTTTTTTTTTTTTTGCTTCTGATGTCTGTATCATGGATGGGATCCCTGTGATTTTACATAAACAACTCTGTAATCTTGGCTTTATGATTCAGACTTACAATCTTGTTTTGCATGATCTTCCAGAAATTATAGGCTTTATGCTTCAGGTGAATTAAAATAATCTCTCCTTTTTTATGTGAATTTTCGTCTATCAGTGTTGTCTACATGTCGTACCAATGATGAAGTGTAGGCGTAATTCGGATACATTGGCGTAGTTTCTTAGCAAATCGTTTTAAAGACGTTGATAATGATTTACAGATACCATTTAATGCTGTAGTAAATTGTTATATCAGTATTCATTTAATGAAAAGGGGAAGCTTTCATTGTATTAGACTACAAATGTGCTCAGTACATGCTACTATATGGAGCAAGTTCACTGAGGGCACAAGTCATTATGCCTGGTAAGATCATTTATCATGGCAGTAGGCAGGGTTGGATGGGATCACTGATTGTCTGAAAGTTGTTGGCTTTGTTTCTTTCCCTGGCACTATACGTGTGTGGGGATCTGAAGGGAAGAGCTGTGAGTTCTGGTCATGACTTTGAGTTGGGTTATTTCGTGAGCTAGAAATAAGCTTCCTCCTTAAGCATGATTGGCATGATCCGAAACACACCGGACATTATGTTGAAGAGCTTATGGCATATGATGAGTTAGTCATGAGCCTTCCAAGTTGTTTGAGGTAGGCTTCTTTATCAAACAAGCTTGAAGTTTTGTTTGTTTCCTTAACGAACAACATTTTAACTAGCTTTCTTGTTTGTATGTTTGGTGGTCATGAATGTATTAACACATTTGCACACATTGTTTTCTTTAACCTCTTTCATTTCCAGATTCTATTATGAAACTTCAAGGGGAATTGCACATGAAAACTCAATGTTTTACAAAGAAAAATGAATGTATTTCCTTTGACTTCACTCTTCAGATCACTTGGCTACTTCTTTCTAGGCCTTAACACTGAAGTCAGACCTATGTTCTGAATCTCCCTCTGGTGAAGATGCGGTGGTTGGGTTTATCGGCTCTAGATCTGCTGATCTGCTGAATGTAAATCTGACTCAGATGGTACAATATCAATAGAAGCTTGTGAGATGGGGGAGCAGACTTTTATTCAAACAAACAGGTAACAACAGAAATAAGCAAGTTGAAAATTGGTGTTAGAGAAAGCAGCACAGCTATTATTGTAATCCCTCAGTACTGAATGATTCTCAGCTTATGCTGCTTTTTATTTGCTTACGTATTTGTGTATTGTGATCATTACAAGTTACAATTGCAGAAAAATAAAATTACTGTTATGATAACAAACTAATCTTTATAGAGAGCTACTTGAGCAGGAAATTACTGTTGAAGGTAGCTACTGTAAACTCTCTAATGTGTTGCTGGATCTCACTGGCTTCAGCATGCTTGTAATGAGCTCGAAGACATCCTGTAAGCTCCTGCATCAACAACATCAACTGGGAAGAAAGCGGCGGATTTTTCATGGAACAATCATTCCTTTGAACAGATTTCCTAACAAAGTAACAAGATACTTCGGCTCATTGGAAATAGCTGGTTAAAAGCAATGATCAAGGGTACTTGGTATTGATTGATTTTTTAAAATTATTTTTATTCCAATTTAAAGGAGAAAATACAAGTTATTAGCAAGTTCCTCAAAAAAAGGTTGTTTATTATCAAGGGTATAAATGTCATATTGTGAGTTGTTTAGGGATACTTTTTTAAATTCACCAACATTGGAGCTTCAACAATGGAGATCTTTCACAATGGATCTCGTTGTTTGCTACTCCGCCAATACAATAACCGCCACTTATCACGATGAACCACCGAAAACATGTTTTGATCAATTTTATAGTAGAATGTGGCTCTTACCTTCTTCAATTGTTTTCAAACCCCACCGAAGGTTTCTTCAAGCTCTACGTTTTTTAATAGAACTTCCATTGTAAAAGTTCAAGTACCCTCGACATTTACCTACCATTTTGGTTAACCATTCCCTTAATTTATGTATTTTTTTCTTAGAGTTTACTTTAAATTTAATCCGTCGGTGATTCAGTGTTCGTGGAAGAAGGTGGGCGTTCATGGATGAACATAATAACAAGTGTGGTGTGCTATTGTGCTTGTGGTTGGAGGAAGAAGATTAGAGAAATATACGTACCTTCGTTTTTTTAGTCTTTTTTTTAGTTGATACGTATTTCTGTTTAAAAAGTTTATTTTTATTTGACACGTATTTTTTTTTGGACAAGTTTTATATCTTGCTTCTTTAGCGTACTCTATTTGTTTTATCATTCGCTCTTCTCTCTTTAATATGTGTGCCTAAATTAAACGTGTCAACTAAATGAAAACGGGAAAGTATTTTTTTATTGTTAATAGGATAAATTGCCTACAATATTGAACCTTTTGCTGGTTTTCAAGAAATAATTAACTTATTGATTATTCTAAAATAATCCAACATTTTTTTAATAACCATTTATTCATTGGAAAAAACCCTTTTTATTCATAGCAACCCCGGTAGGTCATCAACCCATTAGAGCACGTTAACTATCCACGTGACACTATGCTATGCACGGGTTATAAGTAACAATGGATTAAAAAAAAAAGTTATATGTACATAGGCTTAAATTGAAAAAAAAAATGGTTAACATAAATGAATAAATAATAACAATAATTAGAAAAAACCTAAGTGAAATGGAAAGAAAAAAAAAACAATTTGACCAAAAAAAAATGTAAAGTTGATTTTACTATCTCAAATAAAATCTTCGTATTCTTTACAGTTGTACCCCTATGCATTTAACTCCATTTTTTGTCCAGATGAATCAATATTATGCCGCGTAACATAAAAATAGCACTTGCACGAATATGAGAACACCATAAGAATAATCCATAAGATGCTTAAAAAAAATGAAGAATAAAATTGAAAGTCAAAATAATTCAATGTTCTCATGAATTTATATATCTAATATATAATTTAAGAGTCGTTTTAATACATATTTCTCTCACAATCCAATTTCTCAATGAAAAATAAATAAATCCCACCATACTTCTCACTAAAAACAAAAACTTACTAACGGTAAACAAATACTTCTTATTTTCATAATGATAATGGAGGGTAGAGATTAGAGAAAGTTATGATAAATTAAGAAGAAAAAAAAGCATCAGTACATAACCAATTAATCTCGTGCTAGTTACTATGGAGTATGGAAATTTAAGAAGAGAAAAAAAAAGGTGTGCTATTGTAGTGATTATGAAATGAAGAACTAACTATGAGTTTTGTGGGTAGTTTATATTATAACCATGTAAAGTGTGCTGTTGTAGACAGTAATGGACAGTTATTATGTAATTAATTTTTTTTGTTTTTTTTTTAAAGTGTTTGTTTTAAAAATTTTAATTAGAAAGTGGTAGGTATTTTTGGAGGGATTAGTGTATTTGGAAGGGAGTGAATGTGAGACAAGTATTTGGATTTTGGAGCGCTCTTATTAAAACGTCTCTTAAATTATATATTACCTCCATTAATAGTTATGTGCAACTTTGAGAGGATTTGCGGTTTACGAAGCAAAACTTGAAGGGCAAAGATTAGAGAATGTTAAAGAACTTAATTAAAGGAATAGGAGAGAGAAAGTAGGCTCACCCACTTGCTTTTTTGGTGGGGAAATCTGGTTCGTTTAGGAGGGACTTGATTTCCCTCCCCCCCCCCCCCAAATTTTCACCAAAAATTCGAATTGGTTAAATTTTTGGGTGGGTTTGTTTTCCCTCCTACTTTTTTTTTTAAAAAAAAAAACACCACAATTTCAAAATTTTTAAAGGCATTTAAAGCCTACATTCAGCATTTAAAAGACATATAAATACCAGCCTCCATAATTCCAACAACATTCAATGTGTCACCAATATTTACAAACATCAAGTTTTCTCAAAAGTTGAATTTCTTAATCCAAAAATTAGCACTAAATACCCATGATTAGCCCATTAAAACCCAAAAAAATCCTCTAAACTAAAATTAGTGATGCACATCATCAATCTTCATAATCTGCATCTCCTAGCATCCTTGATTATCTACAAATCCACATAGGGCAGCCTTCATCTCCTCCAAAAAAAATCATCAGCCACCCTTACATCATCAAGCTGAATCTGAAGAAAAACAAATCAGACACAACACATGGCAGAATTTGTTGAACCTCTGTTTTTCGATGTTGATCAAATACTAACAAAAGAAGATCTAGCAGAATTGTACTATGATCATGAAGAAGATATGCAAGATCTAGGCTTGGAGGACTATGAATCTGAAGATGAGAACATGCAAGACAACCAAGAAGAAGAACATGGCCAGCAAAACCTATGTTGCACGGATATGGACACGGACACGGACACGATACGGACACGGGAAAACGGCAATCCTAAAAATAGGGGACACAGGTACGGCGTATAACAAGACATATAATATATCCAAAAAACGAGAATTTGACAACCTGTTCAATAAAACACTAAAAATTTAGCCTCAAAACACACAAATCTGTTTAAACAAAGTAAATAAACAAAGTGTACGAACATAGTCGCATACATAGGAAGAAACCATCAAACCAAATACATGTCTTAATATTAAGTAGTTTTACAAATCATAAATAAAATAAACATAAGTACTAATAGTTTCATTCTTCACCATCAAGTACATCATCAAAAATCATACTTTCCATCTCGGGTTCATCAAGTGAAAGCTCGGCCATCTCTAGAATACCAACCTCTCCTAGGTTGTCATGCTCATCCCCACCCACATCCCACAACTTAGATCTCCCCTTAGTGTACTCTTCACTTCTCCTAGAAAGTAATCGAAGGTTGTTATGAATGTATACCAAATCTTGAGCACGTTTAGGAGTAAGCTTATTTCTAGTGCAAGAATGAATAAACTTATAGGTGCTCCAATTCCTTTCACTACAAGAAGAGGAAGAAGGTTGGCCTAATAGCTTATAACCCAAACCTTGAAGCATAGGCACTTGAGAACCATAAGTTGCCCACCAATTTTTAGCATCCATCAAAGCCATATCATGCATGCAATCAATGTTGAGAAAGATCCCCTCCGATTTTTGGGAAAATATAGCAAATTCCGTGTTGATCTTGAATCTTTCATCGGGACTTTGGAAAAGCTTTCGAAAACATTATTGTAATCTTTGTGTGGAAATTTCATTGTCGGCACTTGGAGCAACTCGTCCCGGGACCTCATTAAGCCATTCTTCCGTGTAAAATCTTTAACAACAAAATAAGATTAGCCATAAGAAATAAAAAAAAACAAGGAAAAATAAATAAAGATAATAAAAATGAATTAAACAAGCAAAATTTACCTTGGATTCAAAGAGTGTGCTAATGAATGGAGTGGAGTACTACCCTTACTCCAACGACTACTAAGAATCCCTTTAACTACATTAAAGAAGGTAGATTCTTCATAATCTTGTTTACCCTCTTTCTTGTAAATGGCATCTTTCACCCCTTGAACCGTAATATCCCATCTTTCATAAATCAAATGCAAGAAAGATTTGTCGGTGTCACAAACCCTAATCATATCATAGATTGGGCGTGTGAAGTCAAGAATGTAATCAACTTTGTCCCACCATATTTCATCCAAAATCTTTTCCCTTGCATGTGAGGCTTGCTCGCGTCGATCATCCTTGTATAAGGACCAATTCTCACTAAAAACCATTGATTGAAGTGATGTTTTAAGGAGTTTCAACCTTTTAAGCATGCACACAATAGAAGCAAAACGAGTATCGACAATGCAAAGTAGTTTTAATGGAGAAAACTTATTGAACATTGAAAGCCTCATCGAATGATTCATTATGTAATTTTTAATGAACAAGGCATCTGCATGAACTTCCGTTATCCAATGACATTCGTCATACACTTCAACATTATTCAACACATTCTTAGCTGCACAAATGCTTTTCATTGCAAGATTAAGTGTATGAACAACACATGGTGTCCAACATATATGAGGATACCTACCCTCAACCAATTCCCCTGCAGCCTTACAATTACTTGCATTATCTGTGATTATTTAAACAACATTTTGATCTCCAATTTCATCAATCACCTCACTTAATAAGGTATCAATGAAATCTTTGTCCTTAATCTCACCCGAGCAATCAATAGCTTTCATAAACATAGGACCTATTTCGGAAGCAATCATAATGTTAATCAAAGGCCTTCTTTGTGGATCATTCCACCCATCACTAACAATTCTAACACCCTTTGTTTTCCATGTGGCTTTAATAGGTTGTAATAACCTATCCACGTTTTCTTTCTCTTTACAAAGCAAAGTTGTTCTAAGTTTGTTGTATCCAAGAGGCTTATAGCCAGAGAGATTAGAATTGACAGCAATGGTATATGAACTAACATAGTAAGGGTTTCTAGCAAGATTAAAAGGCAACCCCCCTGTGTAAAACACCTAGCAATTTCAGAATCCAACTGGTCACGAGATTTCATATTAAAAGCATCAGAATTTGTATTGTTTGATTTCCTCTTCTTAACATTATCAGATGAACCTAGTCTAACTGATGTAGCTTCAGTTCATGTGTGAGAAGATATGGGTTCATTTGAAAAAGGTGGAACTTTTGGTAACAAAGATTTTTTATAATCCTCGGATTCACGATGAAGCTTTCTTAGTTTAGCAAGGTCATCAATATTCACTTTACTACAAGTTTGAATCCCTTTCCCTATTTCACATAGCAAATGAGCTTTCACTCTAATATATGAACCATTTTTAACTTCACCGCAAAAGTTACATTTCCAATTACAATTTCCTCCACCACCCGATATTTTATCACCCTTAATAACAAACTTCCACAAAGGGTAGGGGTTCTTCTTAGACTCAGATGAATTACTACTACCACTGACATTGCACGAAGCAGAGGCACTAGAACCACTAGAAGACATTCCTGACAATTTCAGCAAGACAACAACACATTTTCAGCAAATCAAACATTTCCATTTAAGCTCAAACAACACAATCAAATTACACAATGCACATGTACAATACTAGAAGACATTCTTGCAAATTGTTTTGAGAAATGAGTCATCCAGTGATAAGAAAAAAGAAACCCAATACCAAAGAAGAAATTGAGGAATTTGCAAACTGTTATTCCAAGAGTAAGCTATTACAAAACCATGCAAGGAATATACAAAACCTACTGTTATTCCAAGGAATATTACAAAACCTACTGTTATCCTCAGACCTCAGGCATCAAACTTCAATTAAGGCAATACCAAATACATAAAAGATTCATGGATCTAATTATGATCAAAATTCAGAAAAAAGGAGTGCATTTAGATTTTCAGCATGCTTCTGTTACAATTTTCATAATCGACATAGGGGAGAATGAGATCCCAAAGCCCAAACGCATCACAAATTTCTACAGCAAAGGGTTTCACCACCCTCGAAAAGAATATTGAACCACAAAACCATGATACAAAATAGCCAATTTGAGCAAAATCGTGAAGGAATGAAATCAAATTAAAATGAGAATGAGAGATTGAGAGGATTACCTGAGAAGGCTGAGAGCACCGGCGGCCGACGAGCTAGAGTGGACGGTGGACTGACGGCGAGTCGGCGAAGGATTGAAGGAATAGAGTATTAAAGTGCGTGGGTTTCGTGATGACTGAGGTTGAGACGAGCGACGAGTGACGCACTGACGTTGTGACGGTGGACGGTGGACGGTGGGCGACGGTCAGGCGATGTCAGTCGGCGGCGATTTGGGTTGAGCCGTTGAGGTGTGTTTGAGAGTGACGAGAGATAGAGAAGATTGAAAGCAGTAGGGTTTGAGAGTTGAGACAATGAAACTTTGAGGAATTTGGGCTGGAATAGCAAAATGGCGTGTCCAAGTTAAAACGGGCCGTGTCAAATGGAGACACGGTCCGTGTCCATGGAGTATTTTTTTAAAAAAAATTTGGGACACGGATTTTGAAGTGTCGGACACGTGTCGCCCTGTGTCCCACCCGTGTCGGTGTCGGACACGCGTGTCGACTCGGACACCTCTGCTAGGTGGCGTGTCCGTGCTTCACAGAGCAAAACACACAAGTTGAGGTTGATTCCCCAAAAATGCAACAACCAATTGAACAAGGGAATCAAGTTCCACAAAGAAAGCAGCTCACCATGCAAAAGAAAAGAGAAATTGTTGGTGCAATGTTGGTTAAAATGCATGAGGGGAATTTACTAAGGGTCACATGAAACATTTATTAGTTCAATTCAATGTTCACAAATCCACTATCACAAGAATATTCATAGACATAACAAAAATAGATGGCACAAGGGAATTTGATTGATGTCAGGACTAAGAAGTATGGCAGAACAGGTCCAAATCCAATGGAATTTTCTAATGAATTCCTGTAGTCAGTCCCTTTGCATTTAAGGCAGACAGAGAAGAGTTATGCAGCTACAATGAAGATCTCTCATGTCACTCTTCACAATTTGAAGAAAAGGGGAAGGCTAAGAACACACACAAGCAGCGAACAAGCCAGCACTGTCATCAGACCACAAGGTAGCCAGACTCAAATGGGTTCTGTCACATATTAATCCAATTACAGGTAATGAGGACCCCACATTTGTTGATATGAACCAAGTCATACACATAGATGAGAAATGGTTCTATCTGAACCCTGATAAGAGGAGGTTTTATCTCCTACCAAGTGAGGAAGATCCATACAGGGCAATACAGTCAAGAAGATTCAAGCTCAAGGCAATGTTTATGGCCTTAATTCAGAAGCCATTGTATGACACAAATGGGGAACTACTCCATGATGGGAAGTATGGCATATTCCCATTTACTGTCAAAGAACTAGCAAAGAAATCCAGCAAAAACAGAGCAGCAAGAACTTGGGAAACAAAGGCACATACTTCAGAATGTAGATAGAAAAGTGATTAGAGATATGTTGCTGACAAAGGTCATACCAGCAATTATGTCTAAGTGGCCTGAAAGTCTGGCAAAAAATGTTGTCATTCAATGGGACAATGCAAGCCTCACCAAGTTCCTAAGGATGAAGAGTTTATGACAGCAACAACAACAAATGGGTTCAACATTCAATTTGTTTTTCAGCCAGCACACTCACCTGATATGAATGTGCTTGATTTAAGGTTATTTAGGTCTATTCAATCTTTGCAATATCAGTCTTTTCCTAGCAACCTAGATGAGCTAGTTGAAAAAGTGATAGACTCTTATGACACATTCAATCCTCAAGTTAACAAGTACATTTGGGTGACTTTGAAAAATTGCATGATAAAGATCCTCAAGGCAGAAGGTGGGAACAAGTACAAAATACCCCACATGAACAAACAAAACTTGAAAATCTTGGCATTCTACCAGATCAAGTAGAAGTGCAGAAGGAAGCAGTGATGGAGGTTGTGAAGTACCTAAACACTATGTTTTGGCCAGCAAATCAAGGCACTGAACAAGCAACAAAAGATATGGAGGTAGATTCAGACTGGGGGACTCATCACAACAATGAAGAAACACATGGACTGCCACACATAACCACTTAGCTCTGTTAATATTTTTTTTTCCATTCACTTATTAGGTGGTTAGGAGTATTTTGTTGATTACAATGATGCAAACATGTAAGGCAGTTTTATGTACACTACTAGAAAAGAGCCGTTCAACGACGGAAAAATTCCGTCGGAATAACCCAAAATTCCGTCGGAACAGTCGGTTTCCGACGGAATTCCGTCGAACGCACCGTCGTATTACATTTTGTAGGAATTCCGCTATATTCCGACGGAAATTCCGTCGGAAAGGTCCATTCCGACGGAATGATGGTTGTCGGAGTCAGAATTGACTTAAACGGGAAATCCGTTGCAAGGTTCCTACGGAAAGATTTCCGTCGTTATACAATATTTTCCGACGGATTTTTCCGTCGGAAACCACTATACTTCCGACGGAAATTCCGTCGGAATGCTGAATAAAAAAAAAAAAAAAAAAAAAAAAAAATCAGCCCACCCACCCAGATCCACCAACTCCCCCCTCCCCTGCTCAACACCCCAATCCAACCCACCGCCACCCCTAACCCACCAACGACGCCACCACACCAGACCCAGCACCGAAACCCACCTAAAACCACCACCCACACCCAGCACTGAAACCCACCTTAAACCACCACCCACACCAAGCACCGAAACCCACCTTAAACCACCACCCACATCCAGCACCGAAACCCACCTAAAACCACCACCCACACCCAACACCGAAACCCACCTAAATTCACCACCAATACCCAGCACCGAAACCCACCCAATAAAACATCAAAAATTTTCGAAAAAACAACCGAAAAAACATTAAATATCTAACAACAAATTAATGAAAAAAAACCGCCAGATCTGGAATTTACCACCACCGAATCACCATTCCCCACCCTCCCCAACCACCACCGAAACCTCGCCATTCCCCCACCCTCCCCAACCAAGCACCACCGAAACCTAACAAAACCACCATACCTTCAATTCCACCTCCAATTCAACCACCACCACGACCACAATTCAAACACCACCAAAAAAAAACCAAATTAATAGAAAGAAAACAAAAAAATACCTTCAATTCCACCTCCAAAACTTCGAAATTGGGATTATATGGTTAAATTCGAACATAAAAACTCCAGATCTGGAATTTTTATGGTCGAATTTAACCATAAACACCATAATTATTTGTTTGTTGACGACCACCAGCCCACACATAATCCATTCTTGTCGAAAATTCAAGGAAAAAAAATGAAAAAGAAAAGGAGAACGAAGGAGAAACCGGAAACAGAGAAAGAAAAGAGATGAAGAGAAAAAGGGAAGGAAAAGAGGAAAGCGAACGAAGGAGAAACCAGAAGAAAGAAGGAGATCGAAGGAGTAAGAGAAACAGGAAAGAGAAGGAGAACGAAGGAGAAAGAACAGGAAAGAGAAGGAGAACGAAGGAGAAAAGAGGAAGAGGAGAGAGAAAGAGAAGGAGAATAAGGAAAAGAAAGAGGCGGAAAAGGTTTGGGTAAGGGGGTATCTGTTTTATGGGCTAGGGTTTGGTAAAAAAATTATTTTTTTTAATTAATTTCCGACGGACTTTAATTCCGTCAAAAATTGTAAATTACAGATAAAGCCGTCGGAAAGCACATATATTTCGACGGAATTTATTTCCGTCGGAAATTTCCGACGCACTTTCCGACGGATTTCTAAATTTCGTCGGAAATATCCGACGGAACATAAATCCATCGGAAATTTCGTTTTTGTGTCCGTCTAAATTTCGTTTTCAGACGGATTTTTGTGTCCGTCGGAACGTTTCTGTCGGAATTCGACTGTTTTCTAGTAGTGTGTAAGGTCTTTTGATAAAGGTATGGTACATTTTGAATGGAATAGAAATGAAAAAGAATCAGTTGTTATGTGGGTACTCAATCCATCAGAAGCTTTGTATGTCATTGTTGAATACAACACTAAATCACAAAGTTACCTCAACAACAACAGCATAAAACAAATTGTTGGAGCAAAACACTTGGGTTTAGTGAAATTCAATGGAGTCCCTTCATCATTTGGATTTGAAAAAGTAAATAACACAGTTAAATGGGGGACTTAATACAAATCAGGCTAAAAAGATAATCAATCGGGACTCTTTTAAGAAATATTTTAAAACACTAAGGGACTAAGCTGCGTTCTCTACCCAAATGTCATTGAGAACACTGTAAGGTATAACCATGCCAACATTAAAAAAGAAAGCACATAGAAGCCTCATCATTCATCAATTAAACCCCCATAGGCACCATATGTCATTTTGGCAACACCAAACCAATCATAGAAGCCTATGAAACCAAAACATGTAGCATGATGCAACAACAAGCCAACATAATCCATCAATCAAACCAAAAATAATCTAACCAGCAAACATAATCCTTCACAACAAGGTTACAAGAATTCCAACAAGCCAGTAATCAACAACAATTACCAGTATAGGATGTCAAGTCCAACAAGCCACCAGATCAGACAAAAACACCAACACATACATGAAGCCAACATAATAAAAAATTGCAAACATAGCCAAGAATCCAAAAGATCAGACAAATGAACTCAACACAACCAAACATCCAACAGGTACAATAACCCAACATAATCAGAAATAAGCAACAAAGCCAACAAGCCACCAGATCAAATCAACATACTATAAAACAAATCAATGGAAAGGGACTCAAATCAAAAATTAAATAATTTAGGGTTAGGAATCGCACTACAAGAAAACAGCTGAATTCCGACGGACTTTTTCCGTCAGAAACAGGGGAAAATCCGTCGGAAAACGGCATACCGATGGAATTCCGTCGAAAACTGTCTATCGGAACAGCCCTTGTCGAAAATTCGACGTTTTCCGAGGGAAATTCCGTCGGAAGCCACTTTTCCGACGGAATTTTCGACGGAATACGTTCTGTCGAAGCTG